GTCCGTTTCCTTATGCATTTGCTTATGCTTATATATAGACCAATCAATTTCCTTATGCTTATGCGTTATGCTTTATGTAAAAGCTTGTGCTCTCGGCTTTATGCTTTATGTAAAAGTCTGTGCTCCGGCCTTATCAATGGGCACATTCAGCGGAATAAACCGCTCAGTAGCAATTGAACGTGATTAGCTCTTACTTTTAGAGCCAACAAATCGACAGCCTCATCCAGCGGAAAATCTAGTACCTTTGCCCAACTATTGAGTCCGCTAAATGCGGCCAATGTGTGTTTGCTTATCTATAGAACTTACTGACACCGTGACGAATTCTATGTTCTAATAGGATTGGCGGCATTTTGCGCGGTAGTTGAATGTCGTAAGATAGATAGGGTGGTTTTTTACTTGGCGAATAACTAGTATAAGCATTTAACAATGTTATATTTCTATTTCTTTTTTAGCTAATGTACTGAATTCGACGCCTGTCACAACATCAGGCACAATTCAAATATGTCACGGCTGTCGGAGAGAATCTGCGAGATTTTGAACCTGGCAAAGAGTTCAAAGGTTACTGACAAAAAGGTAGTAACTGTCACCACTGTTGTGCATTGTTACTAACTCATTCGAAATAACGTAAATACAAAATTATTATCTAAAACAGTAAACTTAATTTTTAAATAGTTTTGCTATTTACAGAATATCTCAACATTAGCTGTTTTTGAAAAAAATTGTCAAAATTTTTTTTGTAATAACCTGATTGACCTAAGATGTTCTGTATGTTTTAAGAGTTATATTTTTCTATAAATATTTCAATTATCTCAAGTCTCAAATTTAAATATCTCAAATTTACTGCAATTCTTTATGAAAGCTTTTCAATTTCCAGAAATGTATGGCTACATTATTAGATTTGTACCAAAACGATGAGGCTCTCAAGGAGATATGCCAGAACTCACAGGGGGAGGCAAAAGGGAATGCCAATTGGTCTTGTATTGTACATATAGTTCACAAGTTGGTGCTTGATGTAAGAATTATATACCAATGTTTATGTGAAATATTTTTAAGTTTATATAACTTGCTTATTGTTTCATTCATATTCAATTTTTCCATTGTAGGAAGCGGAAAGACTCAGTAAAGAGACAACTGCCAAGAATAAGGAGAGACAGACAATTTGTGGTCTGGTGATCAACACTGTGCGCCATTCCAATATGAAATCAGTCAATCTTCTAAAAAGCAGTGAGATAGTCTCCTTAATACTGCAAATATTAAACTCTAAGGTTTATGTGCACTACCAGGATACATATCTGAGAATATTGGTAAAATATGTGTTGCCCAAGAACACAAATCATGGCAACATCACAACAGAACAATGGCGGGAGCTGTTAACAGCTTGTACCAAATTGTATAAAAAGCCACATCTCAAAAATCACATTGTACTGGATGCATTGAACTTGATTGTAGAACACTCTTTTCTCCATACAAATTTACTTTCCCATGTGAAAGTTTTACTGCTGTTTCTGGGTATATTTTGTTTTATTAAGAAAATATAAAATTATGTTCTGAATTACTTACTAAATAAAGTAATTTCAAATTTTAGAGAATATCTTTGAAGATACAAAAGCAAATGAGCAACTGGCGGAATCTTTTTTCCGACTCTGCAGCAGTGTGTGCAAACAAATTATGACAGAGTCGAGAATAACGATCTGCAAGTTCAGCGAGAGCATATTGATGGATGTGTTGCGTTTGAACGGCTCTGAAGAGAAGTATAGGCTGTTGCTCATTTTCCTGCAGATCCATCATCCTGAGGGAATCTCCAGACATGATGATGGCGCTTACGCTTACGACTGGAATAAATGGAGAGATTTGCTGCGCAGTATGTGTCTACTCGTTCAGGAAAACTGCAAGCTGGATGTGAAGTGGCGCAGTTTTGTTCAATTTGCCAAAGAAGGTATGATATAATATATTATAATACATATAGCATTTTTTCTAAACAATACACAATATTGCTGATGACCACTTGATCTAAATATCTTAAAAATTATTTTAATCATAATATTAAACTCTTTTGGAAAGAATACGATAATTTTTTTAGGTATACTGTGTATGAAATAGGTTGTCTTATAAACAACAATGTGATGATTCAACTCTAAAAAAATAATTATTCTATAATTATAATCAAATTATATAAATTGTGTTAACAGTCATATAACTACTTTATTATTTTTTTATTACATGTATACAAAATAAACTTACAAAAATAAATAAATTTTTATTTAACATATATTATGTATTTTTTTTACAGTTGTGAAGCAAATGATAGACAATACAGCGAGTCTTGTCTGCTCCCTCGACATGAGTGAGCTCTCTCTCGATGGCTCTCATTCGCAACGAGCTAAGCGCAGACGAACGATGAGTAAGATGGAGAATATTGTTGATCTAGCAACGGAAAGTAGTCCTGAGGAAGTGTGGCCTTTGCTAAAGATTCTGACAGAAACGTTGAGAAAGTATCCGCAATGTCTAAAGCCGCAGGATCTTGCGCCTCTGTTACAACGTTTGACAGAACTTGCTCAATCTCGAGATGAGTCTATCATGAACAACTTGTATGATCTGGCCGCAGTTCTCATGGAAAACGAGAATTTGTGGTCCAACAGCAAGGAAACGCAGGATGTGATGATTCACTGGAGCAAGATTTACGACATGGTACTTAGGTGAGTATCAACGCAAATTTTATTCAAAGTTTATAAATTAGATATTATAAATTTGTGTGAAAAATTAAAACTATTTCAAAAATTGAAACTTACGGAATTAAATGCTTCAATCAAATTTTTTTAAATTTATTTGGAAATCTTTATTATTATATTCTTAATTATTATCACTCAAAAATTGTCAATTCTAATTGTGTTAATTGTTTTCTTGCAAAAAAACATTTGTTTATTAATTAAACTATCGTTGTAGATCTCTGGGGGCAAATCAGAACGAGGAATTAGGCCACTCGTTGATCCACTGTTTCATAAAACACAACAGAATGCCGAATGCAAACGCTCTTCTCAGGCTATATCTGACTAAAACAATCCGCTGGTCGATGAATAGCGTGCGCACGCTGCGACAGTTGTGCGAGCGTGTTTCTCTGCCGGAAGACGCATCTGCATCGGTTCTGGATCCGTCGCCTACGACGACGACGGCGCCGATATGCGATCGGACGCGTCTCCTAGAGTGGTTGTTGAGTGCGCCGTGGCAGAAACTGGCGACGCGACCATTCGTTGAGATCACTGAGATTGTCGAAGACATTTGCGCACTGTTGGTAGATCTTGTGTTATCTTGCCGTTGTCGGCAGAACGTCAGAACGGAGTGGAAGTCGTTACAGAGTCGCGAAGAAGCACGTAAACTCATCCGTGCGTCGCACATTTATTTGGCAGACTTTTCACTACTCTGTCACGCCTCTATGACATTCACAGTGGAGTTATCGACCCGCTCAAAGGATGAACGCATTGAACGGGATCCAGAAGTAACGCCCGGAAGCAGAAGTCACGTTTCTTATGTGCAAGAGACATTGGATTTCCTGAAGAAGCAACTGCATGATCTTTTCCAAGAAGAAAGTGCCAATGACGAGAAAAATTCAAGCGAAGTTTACATCGTTCTGATAAAAATCGCACTTCTGGCAAAATTGTTGTCTGTTTTGAAACAATTGGGCATTCCCACGATGAATAATGACGGCGATTGTCCGCTGGTCGGCACGATGGAAAAGCATCTAACAAGTAGCTTCAAGATTCTAGCAAGAATTGACTCGGATAGGTACAAAATTGCGCTTTAGTTTTAATAGAATAACATGGAAAAGTTTTCTATATTATCAATTATATTATTAAATTGTGACATAAAGAAATTGACTGTTGTGTTCTTATCTTTTAAAACTATTGGAAAAGTCCGAAATATTTGGTGCATCTTGTATCTTTGATTTTTAATAGTTAATTTATGTCTAATTGATTAATTAGAAATCTAGATTTAATTACATACCAAGTAATGCTTTTCAACTTTTATTTTTACAAATATATACAATGCCTTTGTTTAAATATTTATTTGTAGGTGCAAATATACTTACTTGCGGAGTATAATCAGAGCATTGAACGTGCTTTACGGAATGACTTATGATGCGGACATCGCCAAGATAATTGTCTCGGCGTCTACATTAGATATGTTGAAAAATATATTCGAGCTGCTGAATCTCGATGATGAAAACTATCGCGATTATAATAAGGAATGTAGCGCTTATCAGGTAAAGTTATTGTAATATTTTTTTCTATACTTATTCTATACTTTCTTCATGTCTTGTCAGGAGAGACGCAGGCGTTCCGACACATTCACGGAGGTGACGAGTGCGACGAGCCTGTCGCACGAAAACGCGATTCGTCTGCAGGTCGTGGAAGCCCTGACATCCTATTGCGCGCTACGCATTAGTGCGGCGAACGACTGCGACGCGCTGCAGACGAAGATGATGCGAAACTTGCTGACCATGCAGCGGAACCGCAAACTTACGAACCGCGAACTTACGAATTGCGTGGACTCGCGGATGTCGCTGACGATTCTTGAATCGCTAGCAATGCGCGATCACAGCGAGGTCCAGCGCGAGCACGCGGACACGCCACTTGACTGTCTGCTGGAGATGTGCGAAGAGGATCGCAAGGACGAAGAGTTGTCGCGCCGGCTGCTAAATTTGTTACCGCACTTCTTCGAGTACGCGAACAAGTACGTTTACTCGCCGCGCAGAATCGTTTACACGCTTATGCTATTTTATAAGCGTGCCCGTCAGCAAAACTACGGCATATTCGTGCACGCGGATTATATGAGGTGCGTCTGTACGATTGTCCGGAGTGATCCGAGTTTCTCGTGGAACTGCAACGGCCCCGACGACGAGGTCACGGCGATGTTGGACAGCGTGCTCAATTATATCGGCCACGAACTCTTCGTGTTGCGTACGCAAGCGATACGATGCCTGCAGGAGCTTTTGTCTCTCAAGAACCTCGCTCACAAATGGAAAGAGCGGATGTTCGTCAAGGTGAAGAAAACGGTGTCCAAGTTGCTTGACGAGGCGCAGCAGTCGAGTTGCGATTTGGCAAGGTATGAGTGTGTTAAAATAGAATTAAATTTCATTAATTTAGCCATAAGATTATTAAGTTTTTCGAAACAATCGAAAAGAGAATTTAATTGTGTTATATTAATTGCCATATTCAATTTAACAAATATATTTTGTAATAAAATTAAAGAATTTTAATTATTAATATTGTTATGAATATTAATGATAATAATTAATATATAATTTTGATATATTTGTTTCCATAATTAAATACGGCAATTAATATAACGTAATCAAATTCTTACAATTAAAACATTTTTAGAATAGTATTGATGCTAGTTTTGGCACTTACAAATAATTATTTTTTCGTTTCTTTCACTTTTATTGGAATAGCGGCAACTTGGAGGAGAGTCAACAGCAGGATGAAAAAGAAACCAAGACGGCCACTGCGTTGATCGCGCTAACATCTGTGGCATGTGCCAGTGCAATCCTTCAGGGTTGTGCCCTGGGTGCTTTGTTGCACTTGACGATGGAGAAGAAAGTGAAAATACAGACAGTGAAAAAAATCCTTTTATCAGCTGCGCTGTACACCACGACATACGTTTCGCTTGTCGAAGATAACTTTAACTATCTGTTGACTTTCTGGATTGAAGACGCAAAGTACCCTTTGCAGAATTTTCCGTACACGCTTACAGGTATAGATAGATCAATATTACTTAACGTGATATAATATGAAAAATTTTGATTATATTTTCTGCTGTACTATAAATATTTTAAGTATTCAATAATTACTTTTAACATTGCGATTTTGTAGAAGTAAAATTATAGAAAATTCTGTAAAAAATTGTAGCCGTGAAATTGATCGATATTCAATTATTTCTCATTAAAAGCCACAAAATCCAAACTAATCTATTATTATATCGACAGGATGTGAGACCGCGAATGAGTTTTTTAGGAAGCACGTCAATCATCTAGTCCCGATTGTACTGCGAACTTCAAATTTCACCGAGGCTGTGTCCTTCTGCGTTAACCATGCCGACGTGGGATTTGACAAAATCTTCGAGGATGTCTTTCCATCCTGTTTCGTGTGGCTGCTGTCGCGCACTGTCGGCTGCCAAGCTACGCTCGACGCCGACTCTGATCGGATTCTGCTAAAGTTGACGGAGAATGCAGACGAATTCGCGAAGATGAAGAGTTTCAATCGACTGTTCTACGATCGTCTGCACGATGTACTGGTAGAGTTGACGTGGCGACTGCACGATGAGGACGACTTTGAGCATGTACTTTCGATGTCGGGTGCGCGCTTTCCCGCGACGGACCCGCCGCACTTCTCACGCGACATTGTGGACCGGTGCTTCGATCGCCTGGAGCGGAACTTTCTGCAGGAATCGCTGACGCGCACGCTGGTCGAGCAGCAACCGGCGGCACTGCAGCGGACGTTGTTGAAACTTACAGATGCCATACACGCATCGCGCTCCTGCGAAAGCAAACTCAAGCGGTTGCATCAGTACATATATTTATGCTCGCGGCTGTCGCACGATCTGTCGAAGCCAGTCTTCGATAAAATGGCCGGGTTCTTCATCCGAGATGTCTGCTATAGCCTGCTACATTTGACTAGAAACGGCGACGAGACGCTTGCCACGGCGTGTTGCAAGTACCTGAATTTATTTCTATTCCAAGCTTTGCCAGCGCGAGCCATGGAAGTCCGCGATGTTCTTCGATTTGTCGTAACGAACCTGATTGGCCTGGCGCAGACAGCAACAGGCGGCAGTGGCGAAATTGCTGCGAATCTACTCAAGTTTCTCATAGTGGAGCAAAAAGATGCATTGCGAGAAGCGATTGTGAAACTTGGTTCGTTCCCGAAGCATGAGATCTTCCGGGACGCTAGAGAGGCTCACTATGCCGTCCGATCGGAACGGGACGAAATTGCGCTGTGCCTCGCAGATGAGCTGGAGCGTTTCTTAGACGCCATAGGTGAGGAGAACGCCGAGTGCACTTTGGAGGATCTCACAAATCTCACACAGCAACTGTCGATACGGAAACTAGAGTTGCGGAAACTGCATCGGCGACTGGAGAGCTCGTATCCTAAGAACAGTATATTGCAGCAGTTGATATTCAGGTGAGGAAGCACTTTATTTGAACCCTTTTTATTACTGTTAAAAGAATCTAAAAAAATTTGCTGTATTAATTAACATATTTAATTAACATAACACTTAAATTACGATTTAATTTTATTATTATATTATTTTATTTTGAAATTTTTGCATGCAAAATTTAATTTGGCTCTTTCTTTTTATTTTAACTATCATATATGTAACACGCTGTAAAATATTTTAAAAAATCTCTTCTCCAGACTCATTAAACTAACAGAATCGCCGAATCCGCGCGTATCGATGGAAGCCTCACGATGTCTCGGCGAACTAGGCCCGACGGATTCCACAATGGCATTGCGCCCGGCTGGAACACTTGTCCAGGAAGCGGATTACACGATAGAGGCTCTGACGTACCGATCAATCGCAATGCTAATGAACTTTATCGTGGAAAACGCTATAGAACTCCGCAAGGTTTCTACATTTTTACGTTATAATTAAGTTACATCTCATTATCCTCGATTCTTATCGTAATTATATTAGATTGTGATATTAAAAGCAAAAGATCAAGTTCAAACTTTGTTGGTTTAGTATTTTTTAATTATAAATATTTAATTGGTGCACACAAAAAGCTTATCGCTCCTCCGTGAAGGTCTGTTTTCAATAAAATCACATTGATTTCTTGTTTTAATTTATAAAGATTATTTAAAACTTTGCAATTCTGTCTTCAATCTTAGTTGAATACGACAAATTTTTTTGCATCAAACTAATAATATTTTTTGTAATTAAAAAAGAAGAACTAATACATTTTAATTTATTCCAGGTTAGCGCTGATGCCCTTTATGCGGTGCTATCAACCTCCTGCGGCCAGAAGCTCTCCGAACCCGATTCAAAGAGTCTGTCTAACATCCTTCAGTGCGCGCCTCTCAAGATCGACTACATTCGACCGTTCATTTCTAGTAGTTTCGTCACAGAGACGTCTTTCTCTGTTGACACTGCGAGATTTTATATTGTCATGAATCCGAGCAACGCACTCTGGACTGTCCAAAATGGCGAGACTTACGCCGAATGGATCGTCAAAGTCACCAGCGGAATCACCGAGTGCTTTGCCGGCTCCTATCTGAAGAGCTTCCTACCGGTCTGTCGACTCAGTGTCGAATTCTGCGAGCTGATTCTGCCACGTATCATCTACTTCGCTATTCACAAGGACAACAACTTCGTCAGCGCTATGTGCGACTGCGTCAATCAGTTTTTCAGGTATTATTGCTGATGATAAATCCGCAAGCGATTCAACAGAAAAATCGATATCGCGCGAGATATAGATTACCCTAAAATTTCATCTAAATATTATTGCAAAGTATTGACATTTTTTTCATCTTTTGAATGACATTTTGGTGCAAATCTTAAAAATCAACATGTACTTAAAAATCGAGATTTTTTTTAAAGATTGATTGTCTAATCGAAATGATCGTCAGACACCACTTTGCGATCAACCGGGAAGCGGAGGCCGCCTCATCGCCGTCGACGGAGGATAACAGCTGCGATCAGAAGATCGTGCGCCGAATGCTGGATGTGGTGAACCATGTACGCATCCAATTGCCGGATGGCATAATCTTGCAACTCGACTACGTGTATCTGGCTCTAGCAGCGCACAATTGCTCGGCGTACTACACGGCGTTATTGTTCGCGCAGTTGGCCTGTCAGTCGATCTCGACGGACTATCCGGACTTCAGCAGAGACTCGCGGATCGATTACATCTACGAGCGTCACCCGAACATCGGTCGGGTGCTACAAGCCATTATGCTGGACACGTACCTGAATATCAGCGACCCGGACGCGATTTGTGGCGCCGGTTCGTCGCATTTACTCGATCGCAACTCCCGCGTGCAATACTACGCTCGCACCAATTGCTGGGATAAAGTTATGCTTGCACAGGACATCGAGTTGTCCCACAGCAGCAGCCAGCTGCCATCGGCAAACGCCCGAATGGAAATGGCAAGCGCGCTGCACCGTTCAGGACTGCAATTTCTTCAGTGGCAATTTCTGGGTGACGGCCTGGACGAGAAATTCAGGTACAATTATATGTAAAATTTAATGCACTAATTAATTCAATTAAAATAATTTTGAATTTTTTTATAAATAAAAAAGTAAACAATACTAAAATGTTTTATTTAAAATAAAATGTTTTGTATAAAAATGTGAATTTTTTAGTTATGAATGCGCCTGGCGACTCGGCAATTGGAATCTTCCCGTAGACGACACCGCTGCCACCGTGATCAACCACTATGATTCTCAAACGCAACAATCGCGACTAGAGTCGCTGAAAAACATGTTCCACGCGCATCATTATCGCGCGCTCAAGTGCTTGCACGAGAACAATCAGCGCGATACGGAGCGGGCGATCGAGAACGCCCGCAGTAGCGTAATAGGTGCCTTACGCATGATCAGTTTAGAGAGCAGTCGTATCGTAAACGAAAAGTTATCACAACTGCGACTACTGCGCGAGATTGAGCAACTGAATTGGGCGACGGATTTGCCGACAGAAGGATATCCGGAAATGCTACGGCGCTGGCAAGAACAAGAAATCAGCTCGACCGGCCAATTCGACTATATAGAGCCTATCCTGTGGCAGCGCATCACTATGTTTCGCATCCGGGAGCCATTACGTGCAGACGCGAACTTGCGCGAAGCGTTCTTCGCTACCTGTCTGGAGCTGGCAGAAATCGCGGAGGGCCAGGGCAATTTCTCAATAGCTGCCCGTGCGCTCGGTGCTTTGACGTCTCACCGCGATTTGTCTGCAGATCTGAAAAACCAGCTACTCTATCAAGAATCGCTCTTGGCATGGAAACAGGATCAAGTAATAGCGCGTCGCTTACTGCGCAGCCTAATTGAAGAGAACAGCAATCCCACACCTAGTCTGAGAGCCAAGGCACTGCGAGTGTATGGCGACTGGATGGTAGAGACCAAATCGGAAAACTCGCAGGCGGTGATACGAAAGTACTATCTCGAGTCTATCAAAACTAGCGAAGCGATCGAGGAGCAGACGTCCGATGTCATTCGAAATCTACACGACACCCAAGTGAGAAAAGCGCAGATATATCGATCGAGAAATTGAATCCCTTCAATAGATATCTTTAGAAAATTTAAACTTTTAATTCAATTCAATAATCAACTTCTCAGTTGATGGAATTAATTGAGATTTAAATAAGATTTGATGATTTTAACAATATCAAAGAGCGGTTAAACCCTTTACTTATTTTACAGTTGAATTCATTAACTCCTTAAAGCAAATCTTATTTTATGTTTCATTTCTCTGCAGGTCGCACTAGCACGCTTTGCTGACGCGCAATACGAACAGATGAGCGCGTACATGAAATCGCCGATGTACGAGGCGCTGAAGGAATATGCTCGTAGCAATATGATCAAGATGAACCAAGCGCAGATGTTGAAGAATCAGGATATCAAGCGCGCCGTGATTATCAGCCAGAAGCAGTCGACAAACGACGCGGCCGAGCTGAGAAACATCGAGCAAGAGAGACGCAATTATCTCGCGCAAGCACTGAAATACTACCTGAAGACTCTACGACACAGCGAGCAGCACGACATGCTCGTGTTTCGACTAGTAGCACTCTGGCTGGACAACATGCTGGACGACGAGGTGAACGAGAAGCTGCTGAACGAACTGGACGCCGTGCCGAGCTTTAAATTCGTGCCGCTGGTGCCGCAATTGGCCGCGCACATCAGCAACGAGCACAAGCAGAGTTTTCACGTACGGATTTTTAATGTTCTCGAGCGCTGCGCTCTGGAGCATCCATATCATACACTGCCAGTTTTGCTGGCGCTGAAGAATTTACACAGCGACGGCGAGTCAATTGGACAATGTTGCGGCAAAGTCGCGAAAAAGGAGGAACGTCGCGTATTAGGCGCCCGAAATCTGCTCAAGCGCCTGACCAACTCACCTGTGAATACGATTATTCGTGAAATGGAAAGTTTATCACGGGCGCTACTCAATCTCGCTTACTGGGAGCCCAAGGGCAAATGTTGTCCCGGTAAATGCTACCAAATACCGCGGGACCAAATGATAACGAAGGTATTTTTAGTAATATTAGAGTAAAAGAGAGCCGAAGCAATTCCCGTTTTTATATATTTTAACCGTTACATTCATATTTTACATTATTACATTTATTTACATTGTTATTATCAGTTATAACATTTTTTTTTTTTCTAAAGGCAGCACACAATAATTACGATTCACATTGCGATCAACAACTAACAATTTAATTCTTGTTCTTAATTCTTTTTCTAGATTAATAGCTTGAACAATGTTCTCCTTCCGACGCTGAGCCTGCCTGTTCGACCGTCGGGCAATTACGACAACGTGACAGGCGTCCGCGCATACCAAGAGACCTGCGAATTCGTCGGCGGCGTGAATGCTCCTAAGAAAATCATCTGCGTCGGCACCGACGGCATACAACGCCGACAGCTGGTCAAGGGCAAGGATGATCTGCGGCAGGATGCTGTCATGCAGCAGGTATTCACCGTGATAAACACGTTGCTGCGTACGTGTAAGGAAACCAAGCGCCGGAATCTGCATATCCGAACGTACAAAGTAGTACCGTTGACGCAACGGTCAGGCGTGCTGGAGTGGTGCGACAATACAGTGCCTATCAAAACGACTTTGATAGGTAGTTCGGATTCGCCTGGTATTCACAAAAAGTATTATCCACGAGATCTAACTGCGGAAGCGGCCAGAAATAAGATGAAGAACGTCGCACCAAAATCGAACGAGGTATTTTTTATTTTGTTATTTTCAAAATTTTGCTATGAATAGAATGTATGATTTCTAAATTTCTTTTGTAATAAGCAATTTTTTGTAATTTTTTGTATTTAATTGTTAAAATTAACTTCATTTATTTTATTTATTTATTGAATTTAATACTGATTTTTTAACGATTTAGTATTAAACTTTAGAGGCATTTAGAAAGTTTGGCAATTGTGTTTTAATTAAAATTCTTTCTATTATAATTATAGCTTTTTAATTAGTTGAGTTGCATTTATAAATTGTGTTGAGTTGTATATATAATTCAATTTTTAGGAAAAACTAAAGGTCTTTCTCGAATGTTGCGAACATATGAGGCCAGCGTTTCATCATTTCTTCGAAGAGAGGTATCGATCGCCGGAAACCTGGGTCGAAAGGACACTAACATATACACGTAGCGTTGCCACCACGTCCATGGCGGGCTACATTCTTGGTCTCGGCGACCGGCACTTGAGCAACATCCTAATTGATGAGCGTACCGCCGAAGTGGTTCACATCGACTTCGGCATAGCCTTTGAACAAGGCAAAGTCTTGCCGATTCCGGAGACTATTCCTTTCCGGTAAAATCGTTAGCCTTTAATAACGCGGTACAAAAATATTGCTTTATAATTTAAATTTATTTATTTAATTTGTATTACAAATTTTTTAAATAATTTTATTTAAAACTATATAAGAACGTTTAGAAAATTATGAGACAATTATGCTTTAATTATTACATTTGTCATTTACATTTATTGTTACATATTTATTATTACACACATATATTTTACGTAGTTTTGTGTGACCTTTTGTTATTTTATTGTTCTTATCGTAGACTAACCAGAGATATCGAGGTTGCTATGGGTGCGTCTGGCATCGAGGGCATTATGCGACGCAGTTGTGAAGTCACCATGACGATGCTGCGCGATCAGAGACAGATAATCATTACGCTTCTTCAGGTCCTGCTATACGATCCACTTTTCACATGGGCCATTACACCGGAGAAGGCATGCAAGATGCAGAGTGATGTCGTGAATAGTTTTTCGGAAAACAGCGAGCGAAGTAAAAGAAATAAATTCACACAAGGCAGAAAATAAACTTATTTGAGGCATTTGAGGAATATCATATTAATTATTTTTTTTTAGCACCGGTGGAGACGAATAAGATAGCCAAGAGAGCTCTTTTGAGGATTGAACAAAAGTTGCGTGGAACAGAAGATGGTCGGGTATCTAGTGTTTATGGACAGGTGGAGAGGCTCTTGCAGGAAGCGCGAGATCCTGCTAATTTATGCCGAATTTACTGTGGCTGGCAACCATACCTTTAAAATTAATTAGATAATTATTTTAATAAATAATTTTAACAAATTTGTATTCTAGAAGAAAAAGTTTCAATACGCGAAAGTTATAATTTAGTTCAGCGTTTTTAATTTATAATTTATACTTTTAAAAATTAAAATAGTTTTTTAAAACAATATTAAAAAGCCACGTTATATATATAAATAAAAAAATATTGATTTTTTTTCTTACAAGGTACAAAAATAATTAGGATAAGATTTTTGCGTCATTCTTTTTATAATGCATATTTAGCTTACATTTTTTATACTTGTTAAAATAAATTTATTGATTGATTATAATTAATTGACTGACTGATTGTTTATTGCGACAGCTACAGACATCCCATCATGTTTATTACATTTGATCACGGATTTCTTATTACTTTTAATGTTTATTGCTTATATTTAATTTTAAAAAACTACTTTAATTAGAGATATTAATTAGAAAAAACGTGTAATAAAAACAAACCATGAATCGGGTTAAATCGAGCGGTAGTTTTCTTGGTTCTAATATATTCCGTCACGCGCTGTTATGATTTTAGTTCCGTTTAGACGGCGCTGCAATTGTTTGCAGATTTTTTACTTCCGTTCAAGTAGCGCTGTAAACAATCGTAGATTTTTTAGTTCCGTTAAGCGGCGCTACAATCGATCGCAGTTTATTTAGTTCCGTTTAAGCGGCGCTGCAATCGATTACAGGTTTTTTAGTTCCGTTCAAGTAGCGCTGCAGTCGATCGCAGATATTTTTTAGTTCCGTTTAAGCGACGCTGCAATCGGTTGCAGATTTTTTAGTTCCAATAGATTCCGTTACACGGCGCTATATTTGATAAATTAGGCCGAATTCCCACTGAGCACGTCACGCGTCGCGTTGTTCGCTGCGTCACGAATTAACCAATCAAAACATCCCATTTTATTCGCTCGACAAATGATGCAATAAAATGGGATGTTTTGATTGGTTAATTCGTGACGCGACGGACGACGCCGACGCGTGATGCGCTCAGTGGGAATTCGGCCTTAAACTAGACTATTCTTTTATCCGTGACGTACGATACCCAATAAGAAAATTTGTTTCCTAGGAATAAAATTATTATTGTCTGAACTGCATGGACTTATATAAATTTACTCGAATTACACTCATCGTATCTAGATATTTATGCATCGTGGTTGTTAATTAAAAATTCAAAATTATTTTTATCAGTAAATTTACTTATTGTTTGAGTTGTTATTAACTTTATCATTATTGTTTCTGGCATTTTAACATTATATTTAATTTTGTACACATGTGTCAAACATTTAGAATTGCCAAAACATGTTAAGCATATGATACTTAAGGCTGTGTTCCGAAATTCACTGCCAGTACTGAAAAATCTACAATATACGTGACGCAAACTATAGATTTTCAGTACTAGTAGTAAATTTCGGAACACAGCCTATGTCACGATGCGCGAATATCTACGTACGATGCGTCCCATACAGCACAAAACATTGCAGCAACATTGCGGCAATATTGCAATGTTCTTGCAGTGTTGCTAGAATGTTGCAATATTGCCGCAATGTTGCTGCAATATTGCAACATTCTAGCAACATTCTGCAATATTCTGTGCTGTATGGGGTTTGTTTAAATATGCTCCAAATGTGATGTAAATTTAAAAAATTTAAAATAGAAGATAGGCTCTCGATATGATAAGACAACAAAACTTTATTTTTAATAAAAAAATATGGTTTTTCGTAAACTTTGAATGCTAAATTGCTAGTGGACAAAGAAATCAAGTATGAAAGTAGAAGTGTCAAATTTTTTTATCTTATCACTAAGTCGATTATTATTTTAAGATAAACATTTTTTTCACGTTTTTTCTTCAGTTTTCAGATTGCAAAGGTCACTTTTTTACTTCTACACATATTCCACGGATATGGAATGCTAGTAGATTGCAAAAGACTGATATTCAAAAAACCAACAGCGCACGCGAGAAGCAGATTAATGTAACGAGACTGCGAAATCTATTGTCGAGTATTATTATTCATTGTTGTTTTCATGGAAAGAAACACCCGCGCATTTTTGCGTTACTCTGTTGATTCAACAGTAGGTGTATATATGTTGGCGTACATTTCGTCGCGGGCGTCTCGACTCGACTCCGTCATCGATTGTGCGCACGGTGCCGATCGCTCGCGGAGTTTCGTTGAGGTAGGCTGTAGCCACCTTCGTGCTGCGCCGTCGCCGTCGCGATCGCGATCCGTTCACGAACGAACGGAGTCTCGCGAAATCGTGCGAGGAAGGTGCAAATGAGGTGCACGGCCGGGTCCCATTGAAGCATCGTCGGCTACCTCGCGACCACTCGCGACCACTCGCGACCCAGGATCTAGCCAAGTAACCAGCGCAGTCAGGCCACTTATCAGCCGCCATCTTGCACGAAAACGGAGTTTATGACAGACGGATCTGCCTGCTGTTGCAGTCGTGCGTGGTCGTGCGAAGCGAGCGATAGGTGAAAGATAGGTGGCAGAAAGAGAGAGAGAGAGAAAAACAAGATAGAAAAAGAGAAACTACGAGGTCCCTTCATGCGGTACGCGCGCCCATCGTCGTCCCGTCATCGTCGTCGCTTATGCTTCATTCGACGTGTAAACGTACCTAAGTGCAACGTGGAACAACGGAGTGTAGTCTAAGAGGTGGACGAGTAGGACTATCAGCCGCGCCGATAGTACGGCTCGAGTGCTAGATATACACACACACACATACACACCAACGCGCGCGCGCGCACGCACGCACGCACGCACGCACCATCGTCGTCATCACCGTCATCGCCGTCGTCGTCGCCTCCTCTTGCAATGGCCATGGAAACGCCACGGGAGCGCGAGATTGCTGCCGAGGACAGCATCAAGGTGGTGTGCCGCTTCCGGCCGCTCAACGACTCCGAGGAAAAGGCCGGCTCCAAGTTCATCGTCAAATTCCCATCCGGCGGTGACGAGAACTGCATCTCCATTGGGGTATGTACCTACATGGACAACATTTGATCAGGATTATTCCATTTCTCTGTCTCTCTGTGTTCTATATATTTCATGTACATCTATTATATATATAT